CGGTATCCACGTCAGGCCATATACGGGGCGACTTCGCAACCGCAACAGTGGACTTCTCCTCTTGTTCTGGAGTACCTTGTTCCTGTACACCCACCATCTCGTCGACCTCTTTCTCATTTATGATGCTGAGCTCAGGGTCCTCTTCGATATCTTCCACGTCCATATCGTTCTCCTTCTGTTCTTGTTCAGCTGGAATGACTACTGGTACAGCGGGCTCCTGCCGCGATGCGCGTTTGAAGACAGATGGCCGTGCGACACGTGAAGTAGGGCGTTGTGCGACGCTCTCCGTGCGACCTGGCCCGAGAGGGACGCGTTGTGGTCCGGTGGCGGCTGCGAGCGACGACGACCGTGTACGCTTGGGGCCCGCGTCATCTTTCACAGCGTCCTTGCCTTTACCAGCAACGTCCTGAAGTCGCATAACCTCAGAACGTTGGGAAAGGTTGAAATTGAAGGGAATGACAAACCTTGCGGTTGACCGCGGTAGTGGTGACCTCACCAAGCGCTGGGCGTTGTGAGCCATTCTTCAAACCATGTAGCACGACGGAGGCGCGAGTTGCAACTCCCTGGGTAGACGCCTGACGAGAATGCTTGCTGGTGGCATTTTCATCTGCATTCTTGCGTGTGACGCCGATGCGACGATTCTGAAGCTGCGTGATGGATCTCCATGATTAGCCATCAAAGTTGAAAAAAAAAGACTGAGACAGTAGACTACATACGCGAGTGTTGTTGGCCATGATGTGAATTGAAATACAAGGCGACTTGATTGCGACCGGCTAAAGCAGTGGGCAGTGGAAAGATACAGAAGAGATTGTGAAGAGAAGAGAGAGAATTGCCCTGCTGCAAACTTAACCTAGGTTTTAATCGTGGCGTAGTTGAAGAAGAAAGAAGTGGATCAAATGCAAATTGAAAGGACAAGTCAGCCACCAGCGAAGCGACTTGGTTGTGTTCAAAACAACCTCCGAATTGTTCAAAGTTCAAATTCAGTCCATCGCGTAGGACGCGAACCACACACGTGACTTCAAAAACAATTCAAAACAGTCGCGTCGCGCTCGTGTCGTGACGCGTGCTTTTCACACCTTTGTACGTACTAATAATACAAACGTACACGACGCCTTTCCATCAGACAAAGAAGACACAATTTTGATCTAGCCTGGCTTCCATGATATGTCAACGTGAGCGAAGCTGTGCTAGCGTGGCTGTTATCATGTGGGGGAGTCACAACCGTACTTATGAGCGTCTGTTGTTGGCAGCCTTCCAAACACGTGGAATTCGTGTTTCGTATGTGAGATCAAGATACAAACAGTTGAGGCTAAACCTACAACATAACTCTTACGTTAGTATTGGCTCTCTAGACTACAATGGAAGTAAAAACCTACCAAACTGTGCTTCCAATGTTCACTTCTTATCTATCATGTCGGCCCACCGCTTTTGCTTCCCACTCTCCCTCCAGTCACCGCTGGAAGAAGTAGGCGCCTTCTCCGGCATACCTAGTCCTGACCTGTTTGAAGTTACGCTGACTTCTAATGGTTCGACCAACCCTGATGCGTTTTCCTGTGAGCCTAGAGCCGTTCCTGGTTGCCAACCCTGCTTCATTAGCAGCTGACGCCCAATGTTCGATTCCGGCAGTGGCTGGGGCGGTGCAGGGGTTTCGGGCATGGGGACGGAGCCGGAAGAAGTAACACATGGCGAATCGCTTCTAGGACTGAGTAAACCTGGAGTGTCTAGTGGTGAACTAGGGAATAGTGCTCGTCTCTTTGCGGAACGGTCCACGTAGCTGGAGGGCTGGCTGGATGCCGATGACCTCGCTGTATCGTGGCGAGATAACAACGTCCGTTTCAACATGGTCAGCGCTTTCTTGGCATCCCTCTCCTCCGAAGGTATTGAACCCACTTCCTCTCTTGCCCGTTTAACGCCTTTCGAAACAGGGAAAAGCGGAATGATATTATCGCCACTCCCGCTGGACGAGCATCCTTCACATGATATGCGGTCAGAATGGATATGCACGACAAACGTGGTGCTTCCGATTGTCAACGCATCTTTGTGCTTTAATGCGCGTGGAAAGCTGGCTACTCGTGAGGGGGAAAGCCTTATCCCCAAATCTTCACCCACGCTCACAGTTGGACCAGAATATCCACCAGGACGTAAAAATGACCCATGCTTGGATCCCATATCCACAACTGCCCACTCTCGCCTGCCAGCATCCCAAAACATCGTCGCATGTAATTTGGAAACTGCCATCTCCTTCAACCTCACACGAGGAGTTCCGCTTCCGGCCGGAACAACATCTCTCCCAAACTGCACTTCTTTGTGCTCATCCAGTACTGCGAGACGTTGGGTCCTTGGAAGGACAGAGCTAGTTTGCACAAGCAAGCGAAGCAGAGACCATGGCTTGAAATTTGATGAAAGAGATTCGTTCAGGACCGTAGTAGGTTGTGGGACCTCTGTATAGCCAGGCCATTCGTATGCAGGATCGTAGCCTGTCTCTGCATGAGTGTGATTTGTACCGCTCACCTCCCCATCCTCCATCTCCACGGATCCTTGGCGTCTAGTGGTGCAGTCCTCTCACTATCACTATCTTCAATCAGTTCGCATTCGTGAACGTGAATTTTGGTGCTTGGGAGTTGGAAGTGAATGCGAGAAATAATAAATTCGAACTCCGATGTTAATGGTTCTTACTGCCATGCTCTAGGGTCATTACGCTTGTAACTTTAGGAGACCACGCCACGTCTTGTGCGTCATTGTTTCATCCTGGACCGGCACCGTGCATTAGCCTACTTCGCTTATTTCTTGTAGCATTGCGAACGCATGGAATCATTTACAGAAGTACGTGTAATTCCCTTCGTGGTCAAAACCCCCATGTCTTAATCGCATGTAGGACCATTCCAAGGCGCTCCTCGCCAAAGAATGGTTGGTCAAAGTTGACTCGCAGACTTCTACGCCTTATCTTTTCGTGTGTGCCTGCTCAGAGTCTTGAGTTGCATGTGAAATAACTGTTCCGACGTGTACGGTGGTCTCACAGAAATTTTTTTGCTCTTCAGTCGATCTGATGGCTTGCGTACTCGTCACTGACACCAAAGCTGCATGGGCCGAGGGTGAGTTTCTTTGTGGTCACCGAGATGAATGAAGAACTCACAAACCACGTCCACCAAATCCACCATTAATCCGATCATGCCGAAATGCACCCATGGTACTGATCGATTCAATTTACGCCACTCATCAATCTAAATATCAATAGTCCTCACGAGCAATCAATTTGCTCGGCGGTGGCGCGCGTGTAAGAAGCTCTCCATTTCTCCTCTCCCGGATACGGATGAAGAAGAATCTTGGCGTGACCATCACCTAGCGCTCATAGGCCGCGCGCACTCACTCGGTGGTTTTCTGGGGCTCACGTTGGAGCTGGAAAAACCTACCTCGGGGGTAACCTTATCAGCTGGCCGTTGAGGTGTGATACGCCCTGACACGTTCCTATAGGATTTGGCACTCCAGCTGGAATGCAACAACTGGAAGTGGCGATGGGAGCCCACCTTTCTCGGGCCCAGATTATCCGCAGAAATCATATCAAAACACCTTATCATGCCCCTGATAAGTGTTAATCACCTCGCGTTCTCATCCTCCGATGTTTTGGGTGATCTTGCGCCGGGAGACCTCGAGAAGGTCTGTCTATGCTTTCGTCACTCGCCTTTCCATTCGCAACAGTTTACGTTGTTAGGCAACAGATAAAGTTGGACGTACTGCGAGGAGGACGCTCGACACACATATTAAGAACGCGCTATCGAGGCCACGCGTGGCGACGACCCTTCAGCGCATGACGGCCATGTTCAACTTCTTACCTGAGCTTCGTAAGTGTTAATTCGATGCTTAACACTAGTTTGACACGAACTTTTTTTCGAAAGCTGCGATAATCACTGACGCGGGAACTCCGGACCTTCGCGCGCTCACGGCAGATCAAATTTCGTCGCCCAAAATAACAGTCCGAGATACAGAGCACAAACCACATGTAGGTTTCTTAGATCGAAGATCTACTCACCCTGAGCTAAGCAAGGTCTGATCCAGGATTACGATATGACGCCTCTGCAAGAGCCCACGCCGCCTAAACTGCCACAGCAGGAAGATTCTGCCACTGAGTCCGAGTCTGAAGGGGCTGCGCCAAAGCAACGGACCTTACTCACCTCTCCCACCCCCAGCCATCAGCTCCGTGTCTCAGAGCGGCCTCCTTCGGCTAGCCTATCTAAGGACAGCTCCCCGGCCCTGCCCGGCCGCAGCCGCAGTCGGACAGAAGCCCCCGCATCAGAGTCCGATCCCTCGCTCGTGCGTCCAAATAAGAAGCTCAAGCCTCAGGGTTCAGATGACGACGATAGCGAGGAAGAGCGCAAACGACACGCAGCAGCAATCAAGAGCGGAGCTGCCGCTAAGCGAGGGACGAGACAACCGCTGAAACGAGGGGGCAAGCGTTTCTAGTCCCTGTCCTCGTTTCTATTCCGGTCTCGGAGAAGGGCCGGACATGCCAATGGGCAGATAGTTTCCCTCGTCGGTGGCAGGCTGACCGTAGGACTGATTATTGGTATTTCGGATACCCTGGACATGTCATCGTCGCTGTGTTCTTATTCCGTAGTGAGTACGATTCTAATGACAAATTCCTAATATGTTTCTCCAGGCCCCTAAGGCGTGCTACTTTCTTGGGGTATATTCAATACCATGACTTCCCTTTGATGGATCGACATCATTAACCCCTTTTCTGTATAAAAGATGTGGAGCTATCTCTATAAATGAAAGGACACCCAAAGATGTTAACTGTGCCGTAAGAATACAACGGTTACTGTGAGTGAATAGCAGCTTTCGACAGATGCCCATGAAAACACAGCTAATAGCACAGCAACTAGCAGCCAAGTGTCCGAGGGGGGATATCATAATTAGTGGCGAATGCAGTACGATGGCGGGTAGCAAGATAAGTAGAGGCGATGACAACTACCTCAGGAGTATGGTAGTTGTATGCTGACGAATTACCAATGGGGTCCCGTTCGATGGCCGTATACATCCGAACCCCCACCCTCGTACTCCAGGCAAGCTTCGCATTTTGTTTGGAATAGGTTGCGAACTCTGCGGTGATCAGAAAATTCCTGGAAGCGAGTAATATCCATAAGAAGACTGGCCAAAATCAGGAGCAAGCGCGTGTTTTCGCACCATGTTGCACCCGCAGTTCTTGGCAGTTTTGTGCATATGTGCTGCACTTAGTTTGCAATTCGGCCGAGCACAATCGTATGTAATTCCAGTCTGATATATCCGGACGTAATGCTAAATGGTGCCATTGTGGTTGTTAAGAAGGTCGATGCTCGCTGAAAGCTCGGAATAACGCACCCCACATCCTCTGTACTGATCACCGAAACTGCGACGAACGGACATTGGTCATTGACAAGCAAAACTTTCGGTGTGAGTGGAACGCACCATTCCATGCTGCACATGTTGAAGTATGTGGTGGGACTATGGATAGAAGACGAACGCGGAGTGGTAGTGAGGACTGGGTTTGACTCGGATTGACGTGGTATGCTTTTATACGCACACCGGCCGATTGACCAATACGATTGGATGCATATGGTAAGGCATCTTCGGTGTAGCGGAAACCCATTTACGAAGTAATCGTGGGAGCGCATATCGAACCATGGTGTAATGTAAAAGAGCAGCCGGAGCTTTGTGACGGGCGCACCTGCATTGAGAGTAGCTGCGTGATCTCATCTATCCGTGGGGTGCCACTACCGTTTAGACTCGCAGTCCTTGATAAGGGTAGTACGGAAATGGTCAGGAAGGACCGTTCAGCATGAGGCTAAACTGATCGTAGATTTGGCACAACCTTCGTGGTCATGAGCGTTTTACTTCAAGTTGCCAAGGGTCCTAAGAACACGACGTAGCCACCAGCCGTTTCACCGCTTCCGCACTTCGGAAAGCGCTCCTTCTTGGCCGGCTCTATTCCACTCTGACACGAATCAGGCCAACATCACGACATCTGTACAAGTTGACTGGCCACTGCCTGCCGTAAACCCGCAGATCCAGAGAAGAAAATAATACCCATGATCGATCGAATCTGTGCAACATGCTCTCAACATGCATGTTATGCAGAACGTCGTCTTTAGAGCTGCTGTAGTACCTTTCAGATGATCAATCACCAACGACACAGAAGTTGAATTGGTAGTACGGCAGTATCTATGGACGAATCCCGTCACTCGACTGCACTCGATAAGGTTAACAGATCATTTCACCTCAAGCGCGCTGATAACGGTTTTCCTACAGTCTTGTTCTTGTGTGTCACAGGGCGGCATCTGTCCAGGGGAAATGTGGCAACGCGTTCTGTGGCGGGTACACTCGTCAGGGATTAAATAAGATTCGCTGGATCGATTTGAAGTGCCTTGATGTGTCGACTAAAGAGCACTTTGAATAGATTCACACTCAGACGGTCAGGCCCAGGGACTATGAGATTAGGATTCATGATAAAAAAACCTTTCCAAAATTCAATCATGTTACTTGGAGGCAAAGTCCTTGGAGCAATAATCAGCTGCACCCGACACGTATGGTCCGAATCGAACGAAACGTGGCGTAGTGCTACCGCGTTCAATGGGGCAACATCTAGATAGTCAAGAGGAACAGGAACGAGAATACAAACCCTTCATATAATACATTCAGTTTCTCCAGAAGCGTCCACAGAATTTCAGTACGCATGCAGTCATCGAGGAACAGCTTAGGGCAAATTTGGATGCTAGACGGAAATGATGTACAAATTATCCCCAGACTTAATAGCCTCGCTTTAGTTATAGACTGGAGAAGACACATGGGATATGTCACGCACGAGGGTAGTGATTGGGCTCCAAGCAGTGTCCTTGGAGCATACGGGGAGCCGCGAGGCGAGGCGGGGATAATCCCACTCTATAAGGCGAAGCTGGGGTAAAAAGATCAGCGCGACGAATACGACCGTCATGCATTTTGCATCTTCTCACGGGTGCCAAAGGACTCGGAGATGCGAAAGGACCCTGGGGGTCCTGTCTGTAAAGTCCTACGTAGAGTTATTTCTCAATAGGGCAATAACTTCTATGTTTGAAAAGGACACCGGGATGTTCTACACATCAGAGGATGATGTTCACCTGCCTGTATAATCGGACAGATTGCAGTCTCGTGCCATCCATATCATGGTAGCGTCAAGATTTTGGACTCGGACAGGCTCAAACTGTCATAAACACTGCAAAATATCGGGTGCTTCGAGAAAGGTGAATCTTCCATATTTGTGAAGAAGCTTCTGACCACGCAACAAAACCTTCTGTATTTGCAGGTGAGATTCCACTCCAAATTTCATGGACATAATAAGCGAGCGCACCAGATCTAAAGCTCCTATGTGGCAGATGAACCAGAATATTACTTCGGATGTCGTAAGATACGAGAGCGTAATGGTGCGATGCGATAGTCATCATATGAAAAGAAGTTCCCAATACATATTAGAGAAGCCCAGTCGCGTAGGAACGAGCGTAATCATGACCCATACAAACTCACCATGAGGTGAGAGAAGATGGCCGAGGGTGTGGATGAGGTATCGACAACTTCTCTTCGCTGGAGAGAGAAAGGTAAACCTTTCGCGGGAACCGATTCTCTAGTAATATAACGCATGGAAGCCTGCATCACTTTGAAAAGAGGGCACCGGAGGAGCGTGATCGTCTATCGTACGAGACTGCTAAAGTGGCATCATTTAATAGTAGAATAAATGAACGCTAGATCTAACGTCTGGGGCAACTTGAAGGGCGACCCTGCAGACTCGGTATTCGTCATCTCTATAGAAGCGTAGTGAAACAGACTCGCAGATACTGAGAATCCGTTTACTCACGATTGCAATGGAAGACAGTTAGTGCTACGCCGATCTGCAGAACGGTATAGCACACGTGTTGGTGCAGCTGGCACCTCAACATCGAAAATGGATCTAAAGATGGCGACACTCACGAGGGTCTTGCCGACTTCAGCGGGGTACCGACAAGTGATTACCACACGACAATGGTCTTCTGCACAATCCAGGTAGGCTGAAAGCATACACAAACGGAACCCGAGAATGTGGGACCGCCACCAAGGTGAATGGATTAAGAAGTGATGGTCAGCATCAATATAATTGAAAATCCTCAAACAAACACTTTGTCGTTGTCGAGCAGTAAAGCTTCCACCCGCGATAAGCAGATTTTGAAATGCTTCGGCTACGGGCAGCCAGTGCCCGAGGTTCGAAATTCTTTGAAGACACACACGCCTTAGTCATGTATGCAAGAGCTGTAAGGCTCCCAGATCTGTTTTCAGACAGCTCTAGACTAGCTCTAGACGGATGTCGCGACGCTGGTCGTAATAAACTACTGGAGTTACAGATGCGAGGGGAATCCCCGCTACCCCTTTCAGTCTTATTACATCCTCGAGGGGAATAGAACTCACGCACTATTATGCACGAAAATTTCATTATTTGGCGGTAGCTTTGACACCTTCGATCCGGAGTACTGACGCCCGTCGTGAAATTTGTATTGCACTTGATCATCAGAAAAGAAGGGCACTTGGGAAATAGTCATGACAAAGTCCTGCCTTCTGGCGACACCGATGAATAGATCATATCATCAAGCAGCATGGATACTCTATGGGTTGAAATCGGGGACACGGCGATGGGCGGCCGCCAACCTTCAACTGTGTGGTAATTTGACTAATGCATGACTAGCCATGTACTTAAGTATTAGGTCAAGCAGTTTGAAGCTCGAAGCATGAAGGCCACAGCATGTAGAACGTCCAGCCGGTTGCATCCTGGTGAAGGATACTATCGATCGTTAAGCAGGAGCAAAGAACTCGTGGAATGATTGACCCTGTGAGTTCGATTAAAATGGGTGCTCTGGAAAGTGTGTTTAACGTTTAACATACTGGTTGCATTATAATCGGTGCGGTTAACAAGCCCATTAATCCCTGCCACTCCCAAGTCGACATGGCTGCAGCCCAGCGGGGAGTATTGCAATGCGGCCTGATGGGCTTGCTGGCAGTGAATATTTCGACAGCTAACGCTGGCCAGAGTTTTAATCCATCGCGAGCGTCTTGTCTGCCAGTGTAGTTTGACCGATAGAACCACTGGACTCAGATCAAGCAAGTTTTAGTGAAAGTCGAGGTTTGAAAATGTCAGGGAACGGGAGCGAACAGGGGTACTGCTAGTGTGCGAACATTGTGGTATTAATTTAATTTCAAATGGAGGTTCGCTTATGATTTTTGAGGTTCGTTTATTATATGATCTCTGACTGAGTCCAACACATTAATGAAAACCATCGAATGACCACCGGCGACAGTGATCAAAGTTGCAACCTTTAAAAACACTTGCTTGCTCCCGTCATTGATGCTTTTGTTGACTCGCGGCAGTATCCCAGTTCCCACTTTGTTACGTTAAATGATTCGGACTCAGATGCCACAAGTCACGACCATGTGATTTCATCAAAGTTCCAACGGTTCCAACCAAGTTCCAACCACACTTACACACAGACGGTCGTCCTTGAAGCTTGAAGCATAACATGGAATCAAAGGTCTTGAAGGTCTTCACCTGTGAAGAGGTGGCAAAGGTGTGTCATAGAACATGTCATATGCGTGGAGCTTGATCTAACCTATATATTACACAGCACAATAAGCCCGATGACCTGGTGAGAGTTTCACTGCGTGTTATTTTTCTGGCTGAGTTTGATACTTGTAAAGTGGATTATTATTGATAGCAAGGTGTACAATATCACTCGTTTCAAAGATTTACATCCAGGGGGTGCTTCAGTATTCGCAGAAGAAGATATAGGTACATTTTGTTTTCGTGATTTGATGTTCGAAAAACTGAATAAGCTCTTCAGCTGGTCAGGATGCGACCGAGGCGTTTTATGGCCTCCACCGTCATGAAGTGCTTCTGCGACCACAATATGCTCGTTTACAAATAGGTCACATTGAAGGAGAGAGGAGCGTTATATATTCTCGAGAGTTTGGGAAGCTCAGTGATGTGCCATATGCAGAGCCTACCTGGCTCAGCACTGGGTACTACAGCCCTTACTTCAAGGAGGTGAAATTCACGGCAAACCCGTTTGGATCTCAATGCTCATCATCATCCAAACAGAGTCATCGACGCCTACAAGCAGCGATGCGAGAGTTTGTGGATGAGGTCATCACTCCAGATGCACTGGTGAGTTCTACCGATTGCTGTCAAGGTAGATTCTCACGTATATTCTCCAGCTCCATGAGGAAGATGGCAAACGTCCAAGTGCCCATGTAATCAAAGCTATGGCGTCTGTTCATTTCATTTGTACATAAGCATCTCATTCTTACGTGGATATTCGTAGAGACATAAATATGCATGCCATGCGCCTTGGCCCGGGGAAAGCACTTGAAAGGCCTCACCCTTATGGGTGGTGTCGTATCTCCTGAGGAGGTAACGGGCTCTAGTTCAATGTGTATTCAATTTTGACACCTGTAACACTCTTAGTTTGATTACTTCCACGAGGTGAGAGTGGTATTCGACTTTATTGTTAAGATTCTAACTTTAAGTTTAGCTTGTCTGCATACAGGAGATATCTCGCTGTGGTCAGCGTGGATATGGCGATGGTAACATATCTCCAATTTTAAATTCCGGCCATTCGGATACTAATTAGGGGATGTAAAGGTCTACAAAGCGGAGCTGTCATAGGATTACCACCTATCATGAACTTCGGGTCGCAAGAACTCAAATCGAAGATCATTCCTGAAGTGCTTTCTGGCAAGAAGTTCATTTGCCTGGCGATATCTGAGGCGTTTGCTGGAAGCGATGTTGCTGGCCTGCAGACTCGTGCGACGAAGAGTTCAGATGGGAAGTATTGGACTATCAATGGCACGAAGAAGTGGATAACCAACGGGACGTGAGTGAAGTAGCTGCGGAATCTTCATGTCCATATCACTGACGTGACTTGGGCCGCAGGTTTTCCGACTAGTAAGTCCAAAAGTCCAAACGTGCTGTGTGAACTTACATTGCGACTAGCTTCACTGTGGGGTGCAAAACTGATGTAAGTCATGATTGACGCTATTAAAATGGAATGATTGAGTGATTATATTCGCAGACTGGATTTACCGTCATTTTGGTGGAACGCTCGGAAGGTGTTGAGACAAAACCCATCAAAACGAGCTATTCGTCAACAGCTGGTACTGCATATGTCACATTTGAAAATGTCAAGGTCCCTGTGGAAAACACCCTCGGACCCGAGGGTGGGGGAATCTTCGTCATTCTCTCGTGTGTATCATTTTGAACGAAATGAATTGAAAGACTTATATAGCTATACAGCAATTTCAATCACGAGCGGTGGGTGATGTGCGCTTCTTCCGCTAGAGGTCAGCGGTTGATCGTTGAGGAATGCCTCAAGTATGTTCATCGATTCTTTTTTAAACATCAGCTAACTACCTCACCTGCTAGATGGGTCACTCAGCGCAAGGCATTTGGAAAACCCTTGTCTTCACTGGCAGTAATCAGATCCAAGATTGCAGCCATGATCTCACGTACGGAAAGTGTTCAGAATTGGCTTGAAAATTTAACTATGCAAATGTGCAATATGGTACATTCATTCCATCCTCTTCAAGTATAAGGGACTCATCAGGCGACGTGTGTCGCAGACTTATAAGGAACAGGCACAGAAGCTTGCGGGGTATTGTCTTAACTATGCGCCATGGTGGCATTTTGCTCACACGTTATTTTCCGTAGACCGATCGGTCTGCTCAAGATGTATACAACAAGGTGTGCCCAAGAAACGGCTACCGATGCCGTTCAGATTTTCGGCGGACGGGGCATCACGAAGACTGGTATGGGGCAGTATATTGAGCTTGTGAGAATTTCACTTCGTCTTATCGTGCAAGGAGATTAACTGATCATGATGCCCGCGATAGTACCATCGCACGATTCCCTTCGATGCGGTTCTCGGCGGAGGTCAGTGTCACAGTGTTGTCATGGCCCAAGGTGGTATTTGAACTGAATCATCATAGCGGAAGATGTACTCGGCGACCTCGGAGTGAGACAGGCAATTCGACAGATGCCTAAGAATGTTCGCTTGTAATCATGACTTCATGACAATGTACGCAGCTCAGCTGTGCCTCGGAGGTCCTTGACTTTCTATTGTATTTTTATTACATTGACGCTCGACCGTCTTGCATCATCGTTGTTCCTTGGCTTGACAATCGACTTGTCTATCCATCTATCCGTGTCCAAAGACCTGATGGTTCTGCTTAATCTCCGTCATGTTTCATCTCCGTGTAATCTCGACCTTTCACCTTGACTGCCAATTCGAATCTTGCAAGTTGCTCCAGATCAGGTGGTATATCATCCTGAGATAGTAAGGGTTTGAGGTCGGCTATTCTGTAATATTAGTATGAACAATAGGTGGATACAAGGACTCGGAGATGCTTGTCTTTTTAGCGAGGTAGCGATCGTTTAAACTTCCGCCGATGTCGCCCTATCAGTGGTCTCCTGCGCCAAGCAGTGTCTGACTTAAGGTCCGAGAGACTTGATGGGAAGCCTCATCCTCATGGCCTACCTCGTGAGATGGGCACGGATGCGTGTCGCTTGATCGACCTCATTAGACTACAGAGGAAGAATAGTAACAACCATTGCTCGCACTGGCAGGAACTCCCGCCGAACTCGAAGGAGCCGACGGTGTCGGCCAGAAAGGATCTGAGTGCTCCTGCGGATTATGGGAAGAAACTCATTCATTATTGGCCGGTTTTCAAGTCGATTCAGAGAACGTGCAAACGCTCATGAGTTGGCGATGCATAAGACTGCGTGTTATTGTTGCAAGGGCGAGTGTGTTGTTTCTAGCAATTGTTGGGTAAATACTACTTAGTAAGTAGAGTAAGTGGAAGGTCTGGACTGGTCCGAGTCATGTACTTCTGTAAATAGACATGCTCTTCCGTGAATGGACAAAATCCTCACAGTCTCGTAACAGACCAATGTAAAAGGCGAAAAGTAACGCCGCCCACATCAACGGTGGATGTTGTTGTCTCAACCTTTACCTCGCCCTTTTTAAACACGATGCCATCCCACAAACTCATCCAAGTTTCTCGGGAGTGGTAAAAGCAGGAAATATCAATGCCTAGCACTGTGTGATGAACGATGCCTTTCTCCAATGCAATTGACTGAGTACCGCAGATTGTGGAGCCAGATTCGCAGGATAGCAAGCCTCCCAAAGCGCGAGCAAGTTCAAGTTGCTTCTGCTCGTCGAATAGATGAAATAGCTTGGAAGCGTGGATGATACCGACGCGACCGTGAAGGTCGTTTAGTGACCGCAGCGTTTGAATGTCCGGTATCGCACTCTCCGGGACAAACCTAGCTGGCTGCGAAATCGATAGAAATGCGGGGTCAAATATGTCGCCAGGTATAAATAAAATCGGCTCCAAGCTCGATTTAAAGAGTTTGCGTCCCAACTCGGAGAATGCTATTATCCAAAGTACTTTGTTAGCGACAGGGAGAAGATATTTTGAAGGAACCAACCTTCTTTAATGTCAGAAGCAATGATGTTATGGGCCGGAAATCCATCTTCAACTGCCTTCCTAACATCGGCACCAACTGCGAGAGTAAATCAGGAGTGACATGCAAGATCTAAGGGGGTCATCTACTTACGACAAGAACCGACATCGAGTAATATTGCTCCTTCAGAACCACGCTTCAAAATGTGGTCGTAAATATGTAGTTTAGACATGGTTTGGCTACGACGACGTCACCAATGTGAGTAACTATCCTTTTCGCGAGTCTAGGTGACAACTCACTGCAAGAAATCAAATCCTCGGATACAAGCATAGGGAGCTACCTATAATTTGCGATAAGTATATTCAACCAATCTTCGGATAAACCGCAGAGCACCTTGTATGCTTCCCTTTGCACATCAATGATGTGTGTTTTCAGGTCCACTTCATCTTGAATGCCAGTATGTCTCCTGAAGAAGGCAATCTCCTCAGGGTCTAGACAATATAATGAATCATCCAAGGGGAAAGATGGAATTATTGGTTTTACGAGAGGTTCAATGTCGCGAAACATCATGAGAAAGAGACAGAGGGAAAGGAAGTAAAAGATGCAATGTGTTTACTTGCAGGCCTTCTTTTACATCTTTGTTTCGTCTCGAAGCACAATTGGATCCGATGAAACGTCCCTTCTAGTACTTACTAGGGCAAGTTACAGCAGTGAGGGCTACCTATCTGGGTAAAGCAAGCTATCCTAGAATTCACTATTAGTGGGATCTCATCTGTAGATGAGGGAAACGCACCTTTAAGACCTGTCAAGCATGCCGTTTAAATTGAGCTGTATCGTTGTTGCAGGCGTGAAAAGTGACTTGTGTGTTAGTAATTTCTGCGAAACCTGTGTTCAACAAGATGGCCATGATCGTTCAGACTGATCAATAAGTACGTACAATTAATCGGTGGGTACATATGTGAGATTAATTTGTTTCCAAACGGCGTGACACACGTCGACGCGCCAAGCCTACACAACGAAGCAATAAATTTCGGAAGAGGAAAGGAACTTTAAAAGGTATAGCTATTTGTATTCGCGGCGTGAAACCGGATGTGCTGTGAAGCATAGATAGTGTGACCGCGACTTGTCATTTGTGGAAGCGCAGCGTGCGTAGCCTGAGGAGGGAGTCGAGAGTTCTGGAACGATTCAGATAGATGGGTTTGAAGTGAAGGAGCTTGAGGTCCCCGCCATAGCAGGCGGTAGATTGTGATGGCCACCCGGCGATACGATTATTTACCAACAAATTGACCAGATGGGTTTAAGACTCGAAGGGAAAGGCGGGACCAAAGAGGCGGGAAGAGATCCTTCAAGTTGCAGCAGCGAATGACCTGACGTAATCTATCTGTACCAGCCTTCAAAAAAATTTAAAGACTCACTATGGATCAGCGCTCAGCCAGCTATGGATCTCCGGCTGGCTTGAGCGTTAAATTGCCGGCCTTTTCCTATTTTGCTCAGGGTTGCCAGTGGCGGCCTAAGTATATACGTACACATGGATTTCGAATTCGGTATACTGAGCTCGTCAAAATTTCCCTACAAGAGCTTTCTAGAATTCTGCCCCCCGTGCGTCTTAAATTTTGACAGCTCCTGATAAGCTTTTGCGACATCTGAAGTTTCTCTGCAGATACTTTTTATGAGTGACCGGAGCAGCAACAGAATCCGAGTTCGAGTCGGTTGCGGTCACACACGGTGTGGGTCAATGTTTCACGTCATACTGTAATCTGAAGTCGTGGTTAGTCTCGTGTATGTCACTTATAGCCACGATAGCATCTTCTAATTCACCGAACCTTGGATAAATGAGTAGGTGAATGCGCCATGCACATTAAGCCAATAGCCCCTATATGGACGGTTGAAACTTGACCAGTACCATGTTTTCCTGGAGGTTGGTTCAGGATGCCAACCAGGTCGTTATGTCTTCTTATTGGCAACCTGCAGTGAAGGTCTCAATATATATGTATAGTACGACATACAGGAAGTATAATTTGAATAAATCACCTTGCCTACGAAAATGTACTGGTGTCCTCAGCAGTCGACAAGGGATTGACAACTTTGCGCATAAATCTGTAAGATTGATATTACTGGCAACGAGGACAGCATCCGGACAAGTTGGGGCCTCCGCTGACCTGGCTTCCACAAGGATTCGCATGGGTCATGCACAAAATGCCATGAACGATAGAGGCGCTCTCATGTGTATGCGACAACTTTGTCTCGAAGGAGTGATAGCGATTTCAACGAGATGCGTTTGCCAGCTCTTCTCTGTTCCTCTTCCCATTCCTGATCTTCTAGGTACTGATCAGCTGCACGTGCTTCCAAGGTGCTGGCACCAATGGCGCCACTTTCTTTGCACTTGAAGCCATACGTGGCTTCTTCGTCAGGATCATCTGCCAGAGCCACGTATGCTTTCGCCACACGCCAGTCTACCTCTTTCGTCAGCATTTGCAAACGCTTCTCGGCTTTCTCGCGGACGCGCCTCGCTTCTGCATCCAGATCCGCATCACGCGTAACAGAGTGAGAGTTGGCGGAGGGTGGGAGGACGATAAAAGTGCGAGTATGGAGTAGATGAGGGGTAGTAGAAAGGGTGCTTGGGGGTAGGTTATTCAAATGGCACAATTCCCGACCCTTTACGATGGCATGCCATATGTAAGTGTTGGCTATTAGTGCGCACAGCGTATCTTACATTAGCACCATAGCGGAGAGCAATCCCCTGTAGTGTGTCCCTAGAATTGATGTAATATCTAGAGGGGATACAATCTTCCGCATGTCCCGCGGATGTATCGCTAGTCTGCGTGGTGAGCATCGATTCATTGTTTAGGCTGGATAATGACGACGAATATGCAGGCGGAGGGGGTCCGGAGATCGGTGACACTGAAGCAAGCTCGTGAGCTTCGTCTTCATCGTCTTCATCATCCCCAAGAATGAAGATATCTTCATCCTGCACTGTGTCATTATTTGCGGCGCGGATGTTCTGTAGGAGAGCCGAGCTAACCACGCCCACGCCGCCCAAACAGGACAAGCAGGGATTATAGCTCCTTAGGCGAGGGTTTGAGCTGAGACAGGTTGGACAGATGGGGCGAGCGCAGCATTTGGTCATAAATAAGTCTGGGGCAGCTTTGGGTGGAAGACACGATGAGCAAGTCGAGCAGAGCGCGGTTGAACGCATGATTGAGTATAAGAGATAAAGATACCAAAGCGAAATTGAGCTTCTACTAGTAACTAGGGTGGCGGTTAACTGGTACTTGATGATCTGGCTAGTGACTGTGAGTCATACATAATACTAGCACAGCCACACCGCTGGAAGCCTTTGGTGACGACCTCAACAGCCTGGGCCCACGTCCTGACATGGCCTCCCCAACACCGGGACAGCAAACAGAGCAGCCTCATCTCGTTTCTCTAGTTCTACAATCTAAGAAAGCACTTCAACACGGCCAACAACTTTGTTCCAAGGCTAATAGTCTTTCAAACGCGTCCGCGCAATGTTCGCTAGACGTGCTTACACTGGACGCGAAAGTTAAGTGGATCACAGAGGCCGTCCTTGAGCAGCTCAAGGTGCGTTATTGTTGCCCCCAAATTCAACTTGATACTAGGGATTTAGCGATTCTAGCTTGCGGCGAATGTTGCTAAGAGTATTGAGTATAAGCGTGCTCAGCTGGATAAGCAAGTTAAGGTGTGTGGCGCTTCCCCGTGTATCGAACTTGTGACATTTCTACACAGTAATCTATATAGGCATGGGATGTTGTGCGCTCGAAACGTACTGAGGCCCTCGACAATATCCTCGAGTCCCTAGGGGCACAGCTAGTACCACCTGGTTTCCACCAGTCTTCCTCTGGTTCTTCCCTGTTCGGAAGTCAACACTCCATTGATGGCAAGAATGGCAATGCACTTTTTAATGCACAGCAGAGCCCTTCCGCCACTGTGCGGGATAACCCATTCGACCGTCACGGCAAGAACGCAGACCGGACCAAGTGGAAGACACTGCGCGACTTCGTGGATGAGAGTGCTATTGAAAACGTACTGGACACACTAGAGAGTGACAGAACAAGGCTAGACGTGAGTTTTGTCTGCATGTTCAGGAGAACACCCCACTCAATCTGCGAAAAGGATATTATGGCTTCAACGTATGATTACCCAGAAACACTCTCGGCTGCTATATCGTCCATCCGCGAGTCTCTTCCATCGTCTAATAACGTACCTTCAATAGAGGACATATTGAATGCACAGCAGCAGCCTTCGGAGCTCATGGCACGCCACCTCAGTAGTCTTACTTCCCACTATGAGCAAATGGCAGACGCATTGAAAGAAAGCGAAGCTGGAGAGATATTTGGCGAGGAGGATTTACAAGGTATTGAATTGCGCAGTGTCTGGTCTTCAGCTTTTGACTTACGTGTTGAAGACATGAACCGTGATACGGAAGAGCTACCTTCTATCATGGCTGAGCTAGAAGAACAAGTACTCTCGATTGAAGATACTCAGTAAGCTAGTATTTTGCTATGCGCATGATGTGGCATTCTTATGTTCTGCCTAGCCAACAACTGGTGACAGCACAGACAACTGCTCAAGAACGACTCACCACGCAATCTTCAACTCTCGATAACCTTGACGAGCTAAGTGAGATCATGTCTGACATGTTGCAGAAGCAACAAGATGTCGAGGTAACATTTGATATTATATATACTGAAGTCAGTATTTGATCTTTTGACAGAATGATTGCCAAGAGCTTCTCGACGGGCTCCAGGAGCGACTTCTCATCGTGGAAGACCTTCATCACCGTTTTATCCAGTACCAAACTTCGTTCAAGAAACTCCTTGTTGAGATTGGAAGGAGAAGACAGTACAAAGAAGCAGTAGAAAAGGTTGTCGAAGGGATGATCCTGGAATTAAGGGCAATGACTGAAGGTCAGCCTTGATCGCCTCTTTCTGGTCGCCTCTTGGGGTAGCTGAAGGAGTGATAATATTATTCAGAAGAACGTCAGGTAAGAGAAGATTTCAATGCGGAGCATGGACGACATATCCCAGAGGACATCTGCTTGTGTATCGAGAATCCACCAACGAGATGGGATGTTGTGCCTCGAGAAGGGGATGTGCGGGAGAGCCTGCCTGAGGTAGAAAGCGATCTCCTGGCGCAGGTTAGTAATGCCGATACTCATGCTTACGATCATTAGTGAACCCTTTACAGGCAAAGGAGAAGTTGGTCGTGGTAGATGTGTCATCAGCCGGTACTGAGAGTGTGTAGAACGTTCCACATATTGTATACTTACACGGATAAATCAGCCTAACGTTGCCCTCGCCCAGTTTAGCTACATAACACAACTGATTTGAACCTTCCTCCTAGCTCACACCCATATGGTATTTGGCATCAGGATGATCTAAACCGTGTGTGCATCTTAAAGAAGAGTAAAAGCTAATTGATACCGGATTCACTGTAGCGTCAAGAGTGAAGTCTTCATGACGTCCATTGTAACATGCCCTACACATAAGGACTCGTTGAAGCCATCTTTCGACACATCCAGTGATACTTACCCTCCTATCCTGGATTTGAAAGTACACGCTCGATTAGGACCACCGAACCATCCATTCGAGTCACAATCACTACGGCATCTCTGTGGGTCCTGACGCCGCGGCCAGATAACGGAGACCCGACTTGCGCATAACATCCTCGGACCACCGGAGCTGCTTACTACCTTTGGGCAGTGGCACTGACTGTTGGTGGTACGTTTTTTTGCTGGAACGTGCCAAGTCACGGCACGCACGGCATTTAAGATCTATGTACGCCCTTCAAACCATTATGGTTGTCGTCCTGAAATCCACTGCAGTCCGGTGTTTGCTCAGTCAGCTACCGCATGTTCCCTTTTCTTATACGACACCTCATAAACAATGCGGTTACGGATATATTGAAGCATGATAATGGTATGGATCGCCCATTTTTGGTGCTCGCATCCTGTCTGAAAGTCTACGCGATTATCGCATAAGTTTATGGTTGGTGAACTGCGAGCAGCACTGTCTCTTCGTGTTAGCTGCACGACAGTTGTAGAAAATCTATCCCACACAAGACCCGGGGTAGCAAATCGATCTGCACAGGTAAATTCTGGGTACTGGGAGCCATCCTGGCAAAAACCCGTACCTGCAGGTAATACATACAAATGGTATTGAATTAGCTATTCTACAAACATGAAATATAGATACTGAAAACAATACCCACCCAAGTACCAACATGCGCAGGCAAGTGCAGACGCGAGCGCGAACAAATGTGAACACGTGCACACGAGTGTCAGAAGCGTGCAAACAGTCACGAGCCTCCGTCGTTGAAGACGTAGCGGTGAAGTAGAGGACGTTGGATCGATATTACGAAGCTGTTGATATTGAATGCTCCAGCGCACCGCCGTGACATTCTGTAGACATAGAAATAAAGTCAGTGGGTCGAAGCCCACGCTGGCAAATGAATCAGATGAGCGTGGTATCCGACATTCGAAAAAAGAGCCCCACAAACACAACAGAAAGCAAAGACTCGGAACTCAAAAAATTTGAGAGCACTCACATCTACCAATTCCTTCGACACAACGTCCATTGCCAACTGACAGCACAACCGTGTCGATGGCGCAGTCGAGCGCAGCTTCACATGTGGCTGGATGGTGATGGGAAGGCAGAAATATATGAGAGAGTGGCTGGAAAAATACTTACCGTGACGAGGTGTGGGCCCGGTGATTGGTAGTGAGCCTCCTTATGCAGGTGCGCGGGCTCTGGGTTCGGAATTAGATGGAAGGAAAGAGGCAGGAAAGCTAAGTGAAAAGGTGCGTCAGTGAACCTGGCATTAGAGCAGCGAGGGAAACTCTACTCACCGGCAAGGTAAGCTTGCTCTATATTGCGCTGGTGGAGAGAAGAGGTTGGTTAAGCTGCAAGCTGACGAAATGTTGGTGCCATCGGAGATCATGATGGTCGGTCGTCTAATGGCGCGTTGGCGTTTGCAGTTGACTGTATCTTGCACAGTGCAAATACGTACTCGAGCTCGTACTAAACTGCGCACGGGTCACTGAATTATTAGCCACCGTAACAAAAGGTACAGATAATCCAAGCTAGGGGACTCGATTCTGACGAGTACATTCAATCCTCCGAGCTCAAGCTTGAGGCGTCAACGTAAACGGGAGTGATATATCGAGCAGATTTTTTGAAGGTCAAGTATACCGAAGGCCATATTTATGATGGTCGATCCAGGCGAAAGTAATTGAACAATGTTAGTAAGCACCGTTAACAACGTGTAGTAATTATATAGCATGTGATTCTGATTGCAGTTCGTCTTTAGTACTCTTCCCACATGTCCACACTACCAGACGTCTTCGCCGACCCAGAGGACTCCCAACTCGTTGCCGACGCTAAGAAAGACAAGCCCGAAGACCATGAGTTCAGCTACACCGAACGCGATGTCATTCTCTACAACCTTGGCGTCGGCGCGACAGCTAAAGACCTGCAATGGACTTATGAAAGCCACGAGGAGTTTGGGGCACTTCCAACGTTTGGAGTGATCCCGCAATTTGCAGCCAGTTCTGGTGTTTCACTAGGCTGGCTGCCGAACTTCAATCCTGTGAGGCACCCTGATAGAATTCAATGTACTCCCGGGAACTTAATAACGAGTCAGGCTAAGCTTCTTCATGGCGAACAGTATCTGGCTATCAAAGGCCCTATACCCACAGAGGGAAACTTTGTAAATGAAACCAGGTTTGTGTATATTCGCGTCATCCTCGCGCCAATCCCAATTTCGCTGCACAGGCTCTTGGAAGTCCTGGACAAGGGCAAGGCTGCTTCGGTCACCACCATAGTGTACACGAAGGATGTAACCACAGGTAACGTGATCTTCGAAAACCAAATAACGGTCTTCATTCGAGGGGCCGGCGGCTTCGGTGGCAAACGTTCTGGCAGAGGTATTGAAGTTTCTATTCGAACACCAGCGTATTCAGGCTTATCTGAGTTTGCTGCAGATCGAGGCGCTGCAACCGCCGTAAATACACCCCCAAATCGTCAACCTGATGCTGTGATCGAAGAGAAGACGAGCGCCTCGCAAGCTGCACTTTACAGGTCAGAGTTCAATATATGGCTGTATCTTCTCGCTTTTCTGATCCTAGTATGTAGACTAAGTGGTGACTATAATCCTTTACACGTAAGTCGTACAGATATGATGCAATTACTCGAGGTTCAAGTAGTCTTTATCTCCAACACACAGATTGATCCTAGCTTCGCGGCAATCGGCGGGTTCGATCAACCCATTCTTCATGGTAATATCCGAATTCTATGCCTGGGCTATGGCATACTAAACTCATTTTAGGTCTATGCTTCATGGGGATTGCAGCAAAGCATGTTCTACAATCTTTTGGTGCCTACGAAGATATTAAAGTTCGGTGAGCGCTGTTCCTATTATGCTCAGATGCTGTGCTCACATAACCGCAGTTTCTCCGGTGTAGTATTCCCTGGTGAGACGCTTGTGACGGAGATGTGGAAGACAGGCAACAAAGTAATATTCTGTATGTCCGATATACACTTTCTCTTTCAGGTGTCGACGTCGAGCCTTCTTTCACAGCTGCTAAGACAAAGGAGCGAGGAACCACAGTGCTGGCCGCAGCCGCAGTGACACTTATCGATACCGATATGATGGCGAAGCTTTGATGCGGTACGTAACGCAGATTAGTATGGTGATCCAGTGTCAGACGTCAAGGTTTGACGCTAGCACGAAGCGTGCTTACGGTCAGTTGTACACAGGGTCTGTCGAGGGTGAGAACGCGAAGAGATTTGATCATTATGTATGATGTGTCAATTCACAAAGGAAGACGAAGGACAAGATTGTGCTAATATTGTATTTCCAGAGTTGCTACTATAAACACAGTAGAAGGACCGATCGAAGGGTTATTCTTATAAATATATTGTGCTAGCCAAAAACTGCTAAGTCTTCAATAATTTACGTACACCGGCAAATTAGACGTAGTACTTTGGACCAAACTCCTGTTCAGACTAGACCGGAGCAAGTCTTTGCAGCAGGGCACCCATAAGTACACATCCAGCACAGCGAAAAGAACACATGACATGGATAGGAACAATGACACAATGTCTAGTGGTCAGGAAGTCAGTCAATATAATATCGTTCGTTCAATAGGTATCAAGATCGTGGGCAGGGATGGGTGGGGACCATTAACGTTTGTTGGTCTTAGACTTATGTCTTGTATTAGGCCCGAGGAATGTACTGAAAGGAGTGGTACGGTTGTGTTGGTCATTAGTTTTCTGAAGATCCGGTATGTATTCATGGTCGTAAGCCACATGCGGGAGAATAGCCAATGCAGTGTCAGCCCCATTATCCTTTCTAACACGCAAAGATGCCTGAGGTGCCTAAAAGAGAACTACTTAGCACCTCGGCAATTTACAGACATTTTAGTCGGCGACGTACCAGGGTAAAACCAGAAGGTGACGGCCACGATCAAGTATAAACCTGCACAGTGGTGAGCACAAACGCGGGCCAAGATGCAACTGGGACTTACACATGAGAATCATGCCCTCCAACCAATTTGACTTGCCGTCCTGTACAACGTAGTTCACGGTGATGACTGATAAACGGATTCGTTTGAACATTGTGCCATCGTGTTGAAACATTTGTACGCACCAGACAAGAATAGCACGATCGATTCCAACGGATCGAAGAGGAGCGTCAATTGTTTACCCATAATCCAAGCGAGCGTCACAATGAACCTGCAAAACACGAATGGTGAAAACTAGCGGCAGCAGACACGACAAGGAGACGTACGGTATAACGAAGAGTGCAATTTGCTAGAGATCGATCAGCTATCTCATAAAGACATGTGGGCAAACAAACGCACGATACTTGATCCAACAGCAACACCCAAGCTCAGAGTTAGTTTGTCCTTCACGGACACTGTGACAGCAGTAACATGTTCCGCTGCATTACCGACTATGGGAAGCAAGATCACGGCAACAAACTCTTTACCGATGGCCCCAGATGCAGTCAAACCGTTGATCGAATCGACAAGGAACTCCGCGGTAACAGCTACCAACTAGAGCGAGAACAACTTTAAATGATTGTTGTCAGTACAGGCAGTGGCACGTACCACAGTTACAACGACCAGGAGCCCAAGGGACACAGGGACACTCATATCTGGTTCTACCTCAGTGTCCTCCATAGACGCAGATGCATGCTCTAAGTCGCTATCTTCAGCAGGCGCAACTTCGTCGTTACACGCCAGTGGAGGGGATTGTGCAAGTTTAGCATTTTTACGACGGTAAAGTCTCAACCTTAGCCATGGATTCTCGCCCTCATAGCCTTTTGACTGTTGTATGTCCGGGCCACTTGAGTGATAGAGGGCTTTATGTGAAAACAGTTGGAACACCAGATATGAACCGTAAACTAGACGAGGATGATTAGGTTATTGCCAGCTGTGCTTTGGTTGACCTACTGAAAAGGAGAATGATGGCAACCTGGATGAGAGCGGGGGTGTGAGAATAATTTTACGCATTTCGAGACATCAGACACGTACACCGTGGCTGGTCTTTAGTATGTTGTAATCTGTCGAGAGTTCACTATATGCAGGCTGGCCCTGCAATGCCATGTGGAAAGCGCCAGGCAGCAAAACAGCAATGACGCTAATGGTAAGTAGTGACGAATTTAGTTGCACAGCACCTGTCCACAAAAGTAAGAATCAACATTCAACATTTCGGAACCAGCTACAAACATACTTTGCCCAAAACCCTGTTCTGAAAAGCGCATTCCTCCGGCAAAGAAGCACATTCCCAGCACCAAGACTGGTGTGTGGTCAATTAATTTCAAATACGGAAGGCAAGAATACATACGAAGATTGCTCAAAATAGATCCCACCACTGAAAGTAACTGTGAGTCTAGGGTCGCAAGGAGATAAGAAAACATACAGGAGGACTGGACGATCGTGAGTTCGCATTTTGTGAGGGCGATAATCTAGAGTGTGAACTTCAGCATCTCGCCGTGAGAGTTTGCTAACATGAGAACGTACAGAAACGATAAGTTCGACGCTGTGGAAGAAAGCACAAATAGTTAGATAATGGCCGACAGAAACAACTTTTAACTGACGCATTTCCCTAGAATTTGCAGTCGTTAGATTGGAATCGTGAAATAGTCGGTGATGTACGAACCAGTGTAGCATTAAGAAGACCTGCCAAAGTTTGGCCAACCCTTATGGAGAGTTCGTCTGTAGCGAACGCCAGGAGCTGCTAGTGGCTCAGTGTGATACAACTACAAAAGGCGAGCTTGTAGTCACCTTGGCCAATGGTATGATGGCAAGAAACGTCACTACGGCAGCACGTTGTAGTATCCGGAAATTTCAAAGGCGACTTGTCAACTCACAGACAAAGATTAAGCTCTGTTGATCAGGGAGAGCAAAGTTGATTGCCCACTTCAAACAATGACTGGTCAGGGATGATTGAAACTGACACGAACATGACATACAGATATGGGAATAAACACCAGCAGAATGTTGAACCCTACGCAAGTAAATATCAACACAATCCTATGTGCTGCGGAAGAGTCTCCCCTTACATGATGAAACGATGATGGCTTGAATGCTTCTCCAGGTATTGGGGGGTTTGGCGATTGTTTTCTCCGGGGTGAACATCAACGTTGCAGCTCTTCGTAAAGTGGGTAAAAAGGCCATTTTTTCACGACCGATATCACTCGTGCTTTTTCTACGCCCCAGGTTGGCATGGGATAGCTCTTGCGGCAGTCGGATGTGGTTATCCGTGGCAGTGTGCCTGCGGATAATTCTTTCTGTTGAGAACCTGCCATCATCTGAAGACCTGTCCATTTGGACAGGAAGGTCGGATGCTGAGGAATGTAATAGATCGGGTCAGTTGTGTTTAATAAGCAACACGAATCGTACGTACACATCATTGTACAGCAAGTCGCAGTTGAGTTGAGTTGAGTTGAGTTGAAGTGTATCGAAGAATGTCCAAATGCTGTGAACTTGTCGAGTGGGGATTGCTGTCGACTAGTACTACTAGTAGTAGTACTTGCTGTTTCAGAAGGCTGTAGCAATTGTTTTTGTTGCTCTTAAACAAGCCAGCGAAGGTGTGGTGGTAGCACAGCCCACTATGTCTGAATCGTTTATAAAGGCTTCTATATAGATTTCTATATGACGGTGGGCCGGGACAATCCTGATACGTAATCAATGGGAGTCTAGCCGGTGGCGTGGAGCCACAACATACTTATACCCGTCTCATCAAGCACCAGCACTTCACATTAATAGGATTGCTACTTGGAATGTTCACAGTGGACAACTATTGGAGCACATAGAACAATACCAGTACTTCAAGCTTCAAGGGACATTCAACGCAAAAATTGTAGTCGCCGTCACTGGCAGTGTCAGCCGACGGCAACCTGCGATCGGAAATTCGGAGTCAGTCTCTACTAACTTAGTCACAATCACAAACAGGACCAGGACATCGGCCCTCGTAGGTGAGCGCATGCAGGTGTGGTGCAACTCTAACTCTTAGTGTGAATTTTCAGGCGTTCGCAAAGACCGCTGGCTCCTTCAAGCATAGCAGCGTCGGCATGTTCAAGTGGGCGACATAACAGGACTCCCTAGTCCAGCATATTCACCAGCAATATTCGAATATTCACCGCCCGTCTTTGGTCGTGGCAGGAACGGTGCGGTGCAGCCAATTGCCATTCAGTGTCGCTCCGCAGTCCGCTTCAAACATTAAGTCCATGCGCCATGAACAACAATTCGATTCAATGACACAAGGATGACATATAATATGATTGAACTCGACGTCATTGACCCCACAACCTTCACGCACTTCTCATTCACAACTTATGCGCATGTTCGTTTGAACAATCGTGACGATTCCCTCAGTAACTATGCATGTCGAGACCGTTCCACTATTTTGGAGTACGTTGCATTAACTGCATCACTGTAACGATCCCTGTTAAACAAACAACCATATTAACATTCAGCCCTCCCAAGGGCACTAATTAATCCAGTACATGAAATGACTAGTGGGGTAAATTCGCTGGTGTATGAAGAAAATAACACAGACATTGCTCCTAGAGTACACACAACCCAATGCTTATGAAGCCGTCAACGGCTGGTAATGGAAAACGTCGACAGGATATCCAAAGGATTCCCAACTATCCCTGATAAGCAAACGACACAGCACCGTACAAGCCGTCCTCACGTCCCAACATGCCACAACCATGTAAAACCTATAAAAAGTCAGCGTGCCGTTCCCAGCGGACATGAGAAGTAAGTACTCACTTCCATCTTTCTCGCGTGCCATCCAATGCCGCTATTTACGTTTCCATTAGCATCTGCTAGGCGACACATTTGAACACGAAATGGATGCGCTTTGGGAAGGTTTCGTTGCAGCCCCGCGCCAACCCAGCCACTGGCCGTGTCGACATACCAGCCTCGACCACCTTTACTTCTTATTATTCTCCAGGATGCGGCGCCAGCGCCGAGGGCAGCAAGGGCAGGTGCGGAAAGCTCAATCACCCGAAGTCGCGTAGGATAAGGAGGTATTACAACCGCCTGCGAACGTAGAGTGGACATGTAGGGGGGCGTGCACAGCGGCCCGATAATTTGAGTGTGTAAAGCCATCATCGCCTGTTGTGCTGAGCCTCGAGGTGCGCCAGGCCCAACCCTGCCCCAATCTAGATCAGGACTAGTCTGGACAAGCGTGAGTACCTCAACATTCACAGCTTTGCTCTTTAAAAATTGAGCGATGACGTTTAATTCTAGATCAGGAATATATGATAGACCAAGCGAACGCAGCTTTGGCTGCGGCTTGCAGACGTCAACGAGAAGCTCTTTAGTCACAGGTGCGCTTGAGAGATCAAGGTAGGTAAGTTCACCAGAGGTGAAACACGGGGCAGAAGATATTATTTCCATAAGATCATCCGTGGTGAGGGGAGATGGGAATGTTTGGTCACCATATAGCGTGAGTTCCCGGATTCGCGCTGCTGCCGGTGCATGAACGAGGAAATCTCTGATACAGGACCCAGTTAGGTGAACACACCGAGCCAGCGCAAGCGAATGCAGGCGAACGGTTGAGCCCCTGAGAGCAGTAAGTAATTCCGGTGCGACTCGGGTAGCGGAGAGATCAAGGTGAGTAAGGGAAGGGAATGCGAGGACAAAAGGCATCAGGATTCGAGATTGAATCGATTTCACGCCACGAAGTCCAAGGCGCTGAAGCCCTGGAAATGTGAGTGGCTCTTCTTGCATAAACCGAGCACGAGCACGTCTAATCTGACGTCGACTTTCATCGTCACTTCCACTAGACTGTTCATCCTCTTGAAGAAGATGCGTGTTGACGAACTCTGTCAGGGCGCTTACAAAAACTGCGCTGACGCAGCCAGTAAGGTCCATGGCCTGAAGGTCCTTGCACTCTCTCCTTCTTTCGCGGTCCTCTTCTTCTGGATCTTCTGTCACGATTCCTCGTCCACGAGTGGGGCGACCCCCTCCTCTCGAAGCAGAACCACGAAGCAAAAGTTCGTTTAGAACGGGCAACGACAGAGCACCATCCATGTACTCCGTGGCGCCGAAAGCAGTTAGGTTTGGAAGTTCCTGCATCAAATGGTCAGTCAATGGAAGAATGGTGGGCAATGGAAGAATGTCAAACCTTCAGAAATGCTTCAACACGTTCGCCGGTCACGAAACGACTAGTCGCAGTGTCTTCTACGGAACGACGCATTCCGATGGTACGAAAGTGATTGAAGTCTAGATGACGGACAAACCGACCAGGACGAGGATCATGAAGCCTCGGGACTGCAGACGCAACACATGTCAATTATGCTAGAATGTAGAGTAAGACAGGTGAGAAACTCACCATAAACCCCGGGTTCAGTAAGATCCATAACATTTTGAACGGCGTCACTGATTGTCCTCATGATCTTCCACCGAGCCGGGCTTTTACTCTTTGGCCTAATACGTCTGGGACTTGAGTCGCGAGATGCTGGAGGCGTCAACAGCTCTGGAGGAATGGAACCATCTGGGCCACTCAAAGACTCCATGATGCTTTCCTTCCACTTCCTAACTGCATCCTCGTCAGAAGATGCGCCAGTACGCACAGCGCTACTAGCTAGAGCAGCGTGAGTGGCTGCTTGAATAGATTCTTTGACGGCCAAGGCAGCCTTTTCATCGTCTTCGGTGTCTGTTGTGATCTCGTCTAGGAGAGCGAGCCAACTCCTGGGCAGACGAACCTCGATTTTGTGCCACAGCCATGGCTTAGCAGCTTCATACCACGCATGGTTTACCAAACAGAGATGAGAAAGGGTTTTTCGTGCTTCTGGCTCGCTCCAATTTGGGGGTGGCATAGAAGAAGGTAGGGCAGTTGGCGCTCCAAACTCGCCAATTGCGAGTGGATCGAGAGAACTGGCATACTCGGAAGGTGGTAAGCCGGCTGCATAAATATATTCGCATATAGTGAATAGCAGTTCAGGGGGGTATTGCAGTATAGCACACATAGAAATTATACAAAGCAAGGAAGGAGTAGCACGAAAGCCGGGATGAGAAAACTCGTTGAATTGTCGAATGAGTCACAATTGAAGAATGTGGAACACTACTTATATACTGCTCGGCAATCCTTATTGCACTGACCCCAATTATGTAATGCGGGGGAAACCATCATTTACGTTTGCGGTATCTTTAGAGCACGCCAGCGTTCGAATTGATGAGCTACCGACACGTTGGCCAAGTTAACGTTCGTTCGACCACTCCACGACTCACGGATGCCATACTAATTTTCAAATAGTGACGAAACTTACTAGACTACTTTTTGCATCGGCCTCCTCGTACCACCGAAGGTCCACGGATCTTCTGGTATGGAGCTTGTTTTGCATATCGGCCCTGATCGGGGCAACGAATGTTATTTAGGCGCGACGTCACACCATCTCGTCGCAATACCTCAACGGACTGGACCACGCAATGATCCCACGAGCCAATATAAAGGGACTTGACTACTGCCACGCATAATTTGATACGATCATTTTGTTTGCTGGTGCGAGGTCTCGTTTTGAGCCATCATTTGTCATTGAATGCACAGAATGATCGCTGGCACCATAAATCGACATGTCTAGCTGTCACCCGTCGACATGTTCGGCTTTCACAGGACCCTTCCTTACACTACTATAGTAAGGGCCGCCCTTGGTCCATCTCCGGCGGGGTCAAAGGGCCTAAGAGCTCTAAAATTCGTTGCTGGACTGACCACTTCCGATAAGCCGGGGGTCTATTAGGAGTCCACCCCTCCGACATACGACCTTTTTCATGTATCGGCCGAGTGTAATCTAGGAGACACAATTATCGTAAGTCATCAAAATATGTCAACTTTGTATCAAAAGTTATTGCCGTTGAATTCTAGTGTGCCTCGACTATCACCACACTCTCAGATACATCAAACTCAAACTTTTCGAGCGTCAATGACATCACCCCCATGGTCATCTGGCAGTAACCTTGCATTAGCAGCAGCTTGCTCGTGGCACTGCATGTGAAGTGTTTCGTGCTTATCCTCTACAATAATATATCTATGGTCACTCTAGTCGTCTCCAAAATCGTTACGCTACAATCGAGTGCTTGACACGGGACAAGATGACTTCAAGAATCAAGAAGCTTGTGCCCTGAACTCTCAAAATTATTGGGCGCAATCAAAACCATAGATGTTCGCCCAGGACAAAGTAGAGCAACGGAGATGATAGAATTTTATGAAGACGAGTAGTTAAAGTACTAGTGTACATTATCAGCATCACGATTCACAAAGCAAGGCTGGAGCAAAATTTCATGTAAAAGTACGAATTTTTTTTTCGAGGCCCCGCCACCATCCACCTCCAAAAAGAGAGAGAGGCAGAGAGGGGGGGGGGGGGGGGGTCACAGTTATGCCTCCTTAGCATCCACCTCCGGTCCACCCCAAAACTGACTACTCCTGAATCAGGTCTGGTGGGGTAGCCCTCGGTAGAGATCATCAGGGTCCTGCTGTCACACCATAGTCCACGTATTGTCGTGACTTCGAACTTAATTTGTATGCAATCGGACCACTCAGGGATCCAGGATGACGTGCAACCTGACGAGTTTTCCACAACGAGTGCAAGGATGACGCTCGATCGGCTAGTTGTTGTGCTGGCATCTGAGTGCAACAGACACTCTTAATGCACACTTGGTTACAGGGTTGGTGTGACCATAGGTTCCCCTTCGAGCTTTAAGCTTGACGAGCAGGTGGGGGCAGGTAGAGATCGATTAAATGCCACGTCTCAGAGATGCTCTTAGACTAATGGGGTCACAGGACGGCCACGAGCTTGGAAACGCTCGGAGCGGTGGCGAAATATTGACATTGATTGCCACATAATTCACTGGCTTGCATAACAATTGAATTTGCAATGTGCACAACAGACACATGGAAGTGATATGGACCTCGGTATTCATCATATATAGTCAGGTTAAGGTGCGACATAGAAATCGTACTGTCTCAACATCCAAATCAGTGATGCAGCTGTCATGCGCAGGTGAGTATGCGTAATGGAAAAATACTAACAAAGGACACGTACTAGAGACAATCACAGGACTCAGGACGGGTAGATTGATTTTAGCTGTGCGGAAGAAGCAAATCTCAGAGGTGAAGTGCCCAAATGCGATAAGGTACGTGAGGAGAGCCATGTCATAAATCCTAAGTTAGGTCCGAGGTTCACCATTGTAGCTTCGCACGAGAAAAATAACCCACGTTTTGTTGTTGATGTTATACGCAGCATATCCTCGTATGACCGCTGATATCAATGTCCAAACTGCAAACGTGCGAGCCTGTAGTGCTGTTACTGGAAGGACAAAGATAAGCGTGAGTCAAATTCTGGCCTCAATGAAAGATCATATACTTGAGGTAGACGGAACGCCAGCATAGAGCCTGCGGGTCAGCTTTAGTGTCGTAAAGTTCTGAATAGTGTTGAACACAGCAATTGTGGCGACTACAAGCTGCCATTTAGGCAAAAGGCCTTCGGACTTGGGGAGGTCTAATGCCAAGTTTTTGAGATTGCCATAGAGCAAAAACATGTTTTCACTCACATTCCAGCAGCACCTGACTCTGAGTAGCCATCTTATCAGTTTATAAAGGATAGTAGTGAAGTTGCACGGTTGAAACTGAGAGTGACATTAAACACGGTGCACGTGCAGCATGTATAGGCTTATGTAAGTTTCCTTTTACTTTTTGGATGTTTTGCAGATCTGGTTTGTGTTGTCCCCGTAACGGCTCTGGTACTTTGTCCTGGACGAATGAGCCAGCGACGAAACCCATGCAAGAACCCTCCTCCTCTAAATTTCCTGGGACATCACGCTCGAATTCACTCGCGAGCACCATTAGCAGTAGTGGTGCTAGTTTAAGTCGCCGTTCGCGGACGACAAGGAAACGAACACGGACGATAATTACAGAGTCTAGGCCAGATGATACCCATGCAGAAGAAGATCAGGTGCTGGACATCTCAGCTGCGAATAGCGCAGAACCATTTCCCAGTCCGGTCAAGACTGATTCTTCCGAACGTGTACTGTCTCCGGTTACTACGCGATTCGAAACAACCATAAGTCCGGTCTCGAGTCCCGCGAACTGGCAACCGCATTTAGAACGGAGTAGAGGAACGTTCGGTGGTGTAGGGAGTGATTTGCGCGTGGTCATGAAGCATGATGGGCCTTCAGCCCCCGCTGACAGTCAACCGGGTTCCAAATCGCTAGCAGGATTCACTTCAACTATTCCTGTGAGTTTAACAGTCCATTTTCTTTGACGAATGGAGCTCACGAGGTTCTAGATAAAGGGAAAAGGTCGCGGAAATAAAGCAATGTTGACGTCTCCCCCGTCTGCCTTCCGTCCAAATCCCACTGACAGCGACCATGTGCGAAGTAGCGTTCGTGACTCCCTGCTAACGCAACAATCATCTACATCTTCTTCACTTTATCCTCTTACTACCTCAATCGGGACCGAGTCACCTCCTTCTCCCCTCTCACCGACAACACATGACCATGGCGTTGTTATTCCAGTTCTCGACATTGACGAACCAATGAGGGTGCAGGAATTCAATGCAGACGATGTCTCATATCGTCTTCAGTTGCTCGTGAAGAACAACTACTTCCTTCCTCCCGCACACTCCAAACCACGTCCGGCCGATTTTGCACCGTATACAAACACATCCAAAAAAGCAACCACTCCTGCATTTCTGGATTATTTCCGAGTTGGAAAATCCAAATCTAAACCCGCTAGCCCAGACTCCTTCGATGGATCTCCGATGTTGAGAGTGACATCAGATTCTACGACCGTGTCCGGTTACATCCCACGTGGAGCACCTCAAACGTTCCGATCCCCGAAGAATGTCCAGCACCTTGCACGTGTGGTTGTTGTCCGTGAGCAAATGGATGATCTTGTCGCTGCTGCAAAGCAAGCAGAGATAGACTTGAAGGGTCGAGACGTTCCTCCGGACCGCGATAGGGGTATGCGAAAACCCAAGGTTGATGTGTTTGATGGGATCATTGATCCTACGGAAGCAGTTGACGTGCCTCCCCCGTCAGCCAACTACACTTTAGCCTTGCAAGCTTCGGCACTTCATGGACTAGGAATTGAAGACTCTGTGGGCGCAGCCGTGTTAGCCGAACGCTTACCTCCCGCAGGTAGTCCTGGACATTCCATTAGTCTTGATCCACGAGAGGATGCGTGGAGAAAGGCTTTGCTGCACCAAGCTGTTGGACACTCACTCAACAATTCAACAGTAACGTCTGTTGTGTCATTGTCCACGGCTCCGTCCACCCCGACGAGGTCACCACACCATCTGCGCTCGTCAGAGTCACTATATCAGCGCGCTCTCATAAACCCGCGGAAAATGCTAGACAAGAAAATTCTCGAGAATCCGATAGTTGATCACCTTGAAGAGCCTGAGCCACCAACACACACCGTAGGCGCACCTTCTGATAGAGATCTTGTTGCGCGTCTTCCAGCTCGGGAAAATGTGCGATTATCCAGCTATACTCCTCTCCGAGCAGAGACCCCGGTCCCTCAAACCCCTCTTGCGCCGCCTCCTCGCCGACAACTTGGAGATACTCAGTACTCTCATTCACAAACCCATCTTCCAGCAGGTTCTACAGAGCTGCGCCGAACACTTCGCAAATCCTGTTCTTCGCCCATGCTCTCCGATTTCTATGAATCAAGGAGAACATCATCCATGATGAGTCCGCCACTGCTGCCATCATTAAGTGTATCCCCTCCCCCCTCGCATCGGATGAGCAGGATGACTGCACTGACTGGTTTCTCTCGGTTTACGGATGATTCGACCGCCTTCGATGACATTCGGTCTCGTCCTTCCTTGGCAATCTCAGTGCCAGCAACCGACGGTGGGCGTCGGCCATCGTTTTCAGAGTACTCTCAACCGTCTCCAACTGCGTCCGCCTTTAGGGATAGATGGTCAAATGGCTATTATTCCCAAAACTTCCAGTCACTTCCCATCGACCC